CCCTTGATGTATTTGTTAAGAGACACAGGATGGTGATTTTCTTTTTTTTTGGGAGAGATTTTTTTGCCATAGAGCGCTTGCACTCGCCAGAAAGACAGAAAGCGAGAAATCACCCCCTGGGGGGATGGCCATGCCGCAATCCTTTCTCCTCTATTCTCCTTTCAGGATCTTGGGCACGCAGGCACACGTGCCCAGCGTGGGTTTAAGTCACCAGTCCGGGACTCGAACCGCAGTCGACTACATGGGAGTCCAGTGACATAACTGCTTTGCTAACTGCTGGTCCCATGGATGGTGATTTTCTTATGTTGCAGTTCCATCATCTTTTTCTGTATTTATTATTTGTAATTCTGCTGTAGAGAGGATTTTCCACTATCATTTGATTACTTGAAATACAGGAAAGACAAGGGAGACAATTCTTTTAGTTTGTAGAGTGAGCTGTTTGAGCAGTGAGGCTCATTTTTGCTATTGATTGGATTAGAAGCAGGTAGTGTAAAGATTTTTCATTTCAGAGAAACTTTTCATTTTTTCAGTTTTTTTTTTTTTGAGAGGTTTTTGCGATAGGGCACGTGTGTTCGCCAGACAGACAGAGAGAGACAGAGAGATAGAAAGCGAGAAATCACCCCCCAGGGGGGATGGCCACGCCACAATCCCTTCTCCTCCATTCTCCTCTCGGGATCTTGGGCACATATGCCCATGCTCCCGGCGTGAGTTTAAGCCACCGGGTCTGGGACTCTAACCATGGTCGACTACATGGGAGTCCAGCGACATAGCCATTACGCTAACTGCTGGTCCCATCCAGGTTTTTGATATAGGACACATGTGCTTCCAGAGAGAGAGACAGAGAGAGGGAAAGTGAGAAATTATCCCCTGGGGTGATGGCCACCTACAACCCCTTCTCTTTTTTGGGGGGGATTTGGGGCATGCACGCACATGCACCTGCCTTGATTTTCAAGCCGCTGGGTCTGGGACTCAAATTGCAGTTGGCCATATGGGAATGTAGCGCCGTAACCACCTGCTGGCCTGAGAAACTTTTTTTAATTGATGTATAGCTTACATATAATAAAGTGCATAAATATTTTTCTTTTAGTTGCTAGAGGGTGTACGTGCTTGCCAGAGAGACAATGGGGCATCGCCATGCCGCAGTCTCTTTTTCTTCATCTCTCTAGCCTGTTGGGATTTGGGGCATGTGTGCATCTGAGCCCAGCATGTTTTTCTAGCTGCCGGGGATGGCTTCGAACTGCAGTTAGCAATGTGGGGTCTGGGTCCCTTAACCACCAAGCTGTGGGCCTGGCCCAAAGTGCATACATCTTAATCGGCACACTTCTTGGTGAATTTTACACCATCCATATCACATTTTAGTCTGTGTCATCACAGTCCCGTTTTCAGTCACTTCCCTCCTGCAGTTAGTTTCTGTCCCAGAGGACATTAGCACGTGAGTCCTAGAACAGCATCATGACACCCATGTAATCTCAGGATTTAGTACAGACACCTCTCTAAGGCCCTCCTATAGATACACTAACTCAGAAGGTTTGGGTATGGAGCACAAAGATCTTGTTTCAGTGAAGCCTTCCTGGAATTCGGATTCAACCTCTCCTCTGGTCTAATCTCTTGTAGCATAGTTTGTTTATTTTTTTAGAGTATTTTTTTTTTTTTTTTTTTGCTATAGGGTGCATGTGCTCGCTGGAGAGACAAAGAGAGACATAGAGACAGAAAGCAAGAAATCACCTCCTAGGGAGGATGGACACACTGCAATCCCTTCTCCATTCTCTTCCCAGGATTTTGGGCATGCACGCACACATGTCTGGTGTGAGTTTCAAGGCTCCAGGTCTGGGACTTGAACCTTACTGCTGTGCCATCTGCATAATTTAACCTGTCCTTGACCTTTTTCTCATATAAATGGACCACCTGATAATTTTTCACATTCCACTTCTTTGCCCCTTCCCCAGCATTTTAAGATTTTATTTCATCGGATAGAAAGATGCAGGGAAACTGGGGACTTTGTGTTTGTCCCA